TCTGCATTTCACATATAAAACACTTGTTTTTAATCCCATTATATTTGTTTTGCCTTGAGCACATTTTGAGACCCAGCTCCGCAAAAAAAATTATACCGGATAATATGCTTAACCAAAAGCTAATTCGCGGGCGGATTCCTCCAGTAGGAAATAGTGAAAATAGCAGCAACATTACCATACTAAAACTTTACTGGTGAAGCTAATTTTACGAGCTAACCAGGTTTTCAATGAAGACCTAGAATACTTAATACAGCCACTTTTTGCTGTCAAAGCAATGCTTCAATCATGCAAGCAATAAAAAAAAACTTCCCAAGAAAGACCTAAATTCTCATTTAGTTAGTTCTCTGAGCTAGTTAAGCTGTTAAGAACACCGTAAGGCAAGTCAATTGATCAACTCAGTTGAATTCAACTGACTTGAACGTGTAAACTAAGCCATTTAACTGACTTGAATTGAAAAACGATGAACCAGGCTCCACTTTTCAAGCCGATTGAATTCAACTGAGTTGATCAATTACTTGCCTTGTCTAAGCCCAGCTTAACTCTTAATCATTCTTGCATTTACTCAAAAGCGCTGTTGGACACAGCTGGATCGAGCAGACGCAGAATCTACTTGAAGGTTAAATTTTGTCAGACGCAATTAGGTATAACATCTATTAAGAGACGCACATTTCCATAAGCAGCTTATGGACGCCTAGCGTCTCTACGGAACTGAAATTTTATCTCGGTTCAACTCAGCTATGTAACAACACCCAGTTGTCATCGAAATACCCTTTTATTTGAGTAGCTTTTGCTCCACTTACAAAAATGCAACATCAAGCATTGAACAACCACAACGTCGCAACTCTATTTAAAATTTGAAATTGAAAACCATCCTCAAACTACATCGAGTAATTAAGTTGTCCAAAACTAGCGAAGTCAGCGTCCTTTTTTTTTGCCGTTCGACGACGACGGGTGAGCTTTCGCAAGAGTGACGTTTATTGGATCCGTTTCTTTGCACGGGTGTGTTATTTTGTAACTAGCGTAAGTGTGCCTGCGATTTGCATCGAGTGACGAAGATTGTGAGTAAGCTGTAGGATGTCTCGCTGGATACGCCCAAGACTTGACGGGCGGTAGCTGGTGGCCGTAAACGGTTCCTGGGGAAAGCACTAGATGCGAACCTCCTCCCAGATCACCATGGCAATACAGGAAGTATTACAACAAAGGTAATTGCTATTAGATATTTTGAAAACAGTGACAGATAGCGGACATGAAGAACCAGTGGAGGTGCCGGGCAAAGGTGTATATCCTTGACAAATGGTAAGTTACAAATTCTCTGTTGTCGTTGTCGTAGTCGCTGTAGTAATCGCCGTCGTAGTCGTAGGCAGTACCGTTAGTATATTTAAAATTAAACATCAACCGCTGAAAATATGAATTATCGCGTATTTCTGTTGTTCATTACATTCCAAGTGAAATTCGAGAACGTAATTTCATTTGAATAGCTTGTTTAACCAGGTCTTAAACAATCGTCACGTCGGTCATAGCTTGTTATGATTGTCTGAACCATGCGTAAAGAGAAAATCGAAACATTGAACGTCGCGTGAAAGTGGATCTTAATGAAAGCCTAAGTACTCTTTCGTAGCTTTTAGTTTTAGGATTTCAAAGATCGTCGGTTGCAGTGGCTTGCATACTGAGGAGAAAAACGCGGTCCCAGATCCTTTCATATTAAAAATGCATGGTAAGATCGCTTGTTTATCGTGAATTTTGTAAAACTTTTCGTTGTCGTCGGTGCCGGGTTTGAATTGTTATAAAACTTGAGTAACGCTATAATGTGATATGAGAGGCTCGGTGGACTTAGAGCAACCGTTTTTGCTTTCTAAGCAGAACATCATGAGTCTAATCTCAAGCCCATCCCATCCATCCAAGATTCGTCAATGATTAAAAAGGAGCTCGTCTGCCTAGTGGCAAACGTTTTTGCTTACTGAGCATGACCGTGGGTTCAATCCCAAGCTCCTTCGCGTTATACGATCGCTAGGACATCAATTCAGCTTATCGTTTACCAAAACGAACCCTGCTGCTAACCCAACCCTCTTACCCAACATCCCTGTGATTCCTCGTGGAAGTGCAGAACTCATCGGCTTCCATCAAAGCGAGTGTCACGTCAACACATTCCTACCCCTTCCTTTCTTGACCTGCGTTCAGGCGCGGCTGGCGCTGGTATTGCCTAATTCGAGATCACCAGTTTTTACACATTGAGGATGATTGCTAGTCCCAAGCATCGTCTATTGGTTCTCTGTGTAATTACAACTGGTCTGGCAATACCAGAGTAGCAACCGTGGGCGGTCAATCATGCTCATGCTCATGCTGCTCAAACTAGCGAAGTCAGCCATACTTATTAATACGTTTCTGTTATAAAAAAATATTTCCCCGACTTTGAATGAAATTCCCTGGCAATCAGTGATTTTCCAGGACCAAAAAGGAATTCCCTGATATTCCCTGATTTTACAGATTTTTCCCAGTTAGTCGACACCCTGACAATCTTATTTTTTTTTTTTTTTTTTTTTTTGAGAGAGGACAAAGTATGTTTTCCCCCGATTTTTCACCAAAATTTGCAGCCTCTTCCCAGTAATGTAAATTCATGGTGACCAATAAATCCCGATTATAACGTGCCCGTTTTTCCCAGAATTTTACAAAATTTTCCCGGCTGTGCGAAATACATTTAAATTAAGCATTACGAATTCCTGGATCTTGAATTTGGTTCAGTGTACAAAGTCTTGAAAGGATTTTATTTCATTTCCTTAAAAATCAATTCCCTTCCACAGAATTCTTTTTAAGAATTATTCTAAAACATATTTGAGATTCTCTAACAGTACAAAAATTCTTTGCAGAATACTCCAAAAAGTCATGAAATGTGTCTTTAATTTCTTTTCGAAATTATTTTCGAGATGCCATTGAAATTATCCTCGAAATTTCCTTTAAACGCCTCGCACATTTCCTTGGAATTGTATCCTTAAAAAAAGTTGAAATACGATTCCCTTTGCATCTGGAATCCTCTTCACAATCGCCATGGAATTTTTCACAGAACTAAACTCACAAAATTGACTTGGAATTCTTGTCAAAACTCTCTTAGAGCTCATCCCAAAACTCCCTAGGACATTTCATCTGAAATATCTTGCTGTATTCCCTAAAAGGTCCCCCTTAACTCAGCCGGTAAAGGCGCAGCTACAAAGCAAGACCATGCTGGAGGTGGCTGGGTTTCATTCCCGGTCCGGTCTATGAATTTTTCGGGTTGGAAAATTTCTCGACTTCCCTGGGCATTAGAGTATGATTGTACTTGCCACACCATTAGGGGTAAGAGGGGCATAGTGAGCACCCCGTGCACCAGCTTGGACTTCAGGCCGTTCGGAACAAATTGGTTGGAGGTAGGATCAATATCATAATGATATTGAACCTACTACCGGTTGATTTGTTTCATGCAGCTGGAGATCCAGAGCCAAACTGCTGGATGCTCACTATGCCCCACCTGTTCACTATGCCCCTCCTCCCCCTATACTAATACAAAAATGGCACAGGCATCGAAAGCTCTCAATTAATAACTGTGGCAGTGCATCTAGAACACTAAGTTGAGTACACACAATAAGCTAATATGCGATAAGCAATAAGCTTGAAACGGGAAGAAGAAGTAAATAATTGAAATCTGCATGGCTCAGAAATTTAGCAATAGCATTAGCATCGAACAAGTTGCACAATATCGTAGGTGGTACGAATTCAAAACTATTAAGAGCAAGACGGATATCTATTACTGGACAGATAGTAAGTAGGAAATAATTCCCAGATAAAGACATATCCCGCTCCAATAGTTAAGGATTGTCCTGGCCACGTCCTTATAACTGGTAGGGATAGGAAAGGTATGTTAGTCCAACATTTACTGGTTCCGGAGATGAACCAGCGTGTGACTGAAAATCTCCTTTATAAAGACAACCAACCAACCAACATTCACTTAAGAGAGATGAAGAGAACTCTACGACCCCTTATAAATGTCTCGGGAATTTAGGAATTATGTTAGTAGGGAAGGTAGGCCATAAGATACACCCAGTCAGTGTTGCTGGCAAATGTAGATTTTTTTGATATAAATGCTGAAGAAATCATGACAAATTCTTAAGTTTAATTTTGTAAACTCTTTAAATTAATTAAGTTTCGAAAAAAGCTTGAACATCCATAGAAAACACAAACTATAAATTAGGTGATCGACGACCGTTTGCTAAGTATCCAGAGATGAACCAGCCTAACCTTGTAAGGTCATTTTCTCGCAAACCGAAGTTCGCCAAGGGAAACCAATATAATGAACAGGTACGGGAAATTCTCCTCTACCCGATTGTGGTTTCGGTTCGCGTGAAAATGGCCGTACAAAGTTTGTTTACAAAATGGAGTAGAGGCCATTTAAATTGTTGGTCTTGAAATGCACTCCAAAATTTTGATGTTCAAGGAGAAAAAGTAACGAAGAAGATAAAATTGGTTGTTTTGAAATTCTTGAGAAAGTTCCTCGGCGTACTTCTAATTTTATTTCATCAAAATTCAATAATCGAGAATTTCAAAATTCCCTGAGAGTTCTCGGTTTTTCCAGGAAAAATTTTCCTGATTTTTTTTTCAGTTAGTAGACACGCTGCTTTATGGACTGTTTACACTTATACTAGTTCACTAGCTCAACCAGCTTAACCAACTATCACGAATTTCAGTTGTTCATGAAATCTCATGCTGGTAGATGCTGACTCCCTGTTTACATTATGCTGGCTACTTTTTAGTACAGTTCTAGTACTCTAGCGCTAGTGAACCAGCGTATATGTAAACACCACATTACCACCTATAACATCACGGATTTCGAGAAAGCTTTAATGAACTCAATGCCAACTGTTTTTCCTGATTCAAGCTTAAAATTGGCAGAACAGATCAATCAAAACAACATCTAATGTTGTGCCTAACGTGCATTACGCCTGACAACTGTATACTATAAATTCCACACCTACCTCGAAATATCCTCATGACTAACCGCCCGCGGTGTGCCGACCGGCAAACCCGACTCCAGCAAGTTGGACGACGCATACCGGGACGAGGAGTTGTCCAGCATGGGCGAATGTGACCGCAGCTCGCCCGAAACCGCATTGTCCACCACGCTCTGACCGATCTGGTTCATCGCATTGGTCGACAGCGAGTTCAGGTTGTTGATCGAATTGGCGAGCGCTTGCAGGATGTTGGTCTTCTGGACGATCAGCGTCGCCTTGTTGGTGATTGCTTTCAGCGTGGCCACCGCTTCTTCGTGGACCACATTTTCGAGATTTCGCTCTCCCTCACTAGTTCTCACACCGATCAGCTTGTCACCGACGGCGAGCCTTCCGTCGACATGCGCCGCTCCACCTTCCATGATCTTCGTCACGTAGATTCCATTATCACCCGGGATGTGCTGGTTGCCAATTCCGCCGGCAATCGAGAATCCTAACCCCTTGCCTCCCTTGAACAGGTCGATTTCCTCCTGCTTGGGAGCCTGCGCCGGTGGCCGTTTTCTTCGTATGTGCAGCGTTACCCGCTCGCCGGCTTTCTTCAGGGCATCGACCGCCTCGCCGTGGGTCACATTCACCACCGTCATCTCGTTTACGGCCACGATGCAATCGTTGACCTGCAGCCGCCCATCGGCGTACGCCGCACCGCCCGGGATCACTTTGGTGATGTAGATCGACGCATCCAGATTGATGTGCGGATTGTCCGTTCCGCCTGCTATCGAAAAGCCCAGCCCGGTCGTTCCCCGAACCAGGGCAATATCTTCATACTCCCAAACGGAATCGCCATTGAGCTGCAAATGATTGGGAGAAATTGAAAAGGAGAGTTATTTTCGACGATCAACTGTATTTTGGATGATGATTGCAATGCACTCTCGCGTGTAGATGTGCCTACTCACCTGTTTTGAATCGCTCGAGTTTGATGTGTTGACCTGCCGGAAGAAACAAAGCAAATGGGTTATTAATGATTCGTCCTAAGAATAGTGCTATTCAATCTAACGATTAGTAGGAAACACGAAAATGAAAACTCTACGCGACATAGATCTTACTTTCATAGCTCTTCGGAACAACGGCGGATCCGATCTCGGTCACGATGCACTCTGAAAGGAGTAGTAGAAACTGTTGCCTCAAACGATCATCGAAGCGGATGGAAAATTCAACCGCGGCACTTATACTGGGGCCAAATCGGTTACGCGCAACCGAAAATAGGAGGGAATTTTGCTCGTTTTTCATATTTTCTTTCCGTGATCGTATGCATGCATGTGTGTAGAGGTGTGGGTCTTACACGTCTGGCCAAATGATGCGGGAGCTCAGCTCAACTCTCAGTCAAAGTCAGTCAAGTCAGTTTGAGCCAGTAGCGGAAAAGTTTGGCGAATCTCCCGCGCCACACGATGATGTGGTAAGATATTTTTAATGTTTGGACGTACGAACGTGTTCTTTTCTCGGGTGTGAGAAAGGCATTCGGGCGTCGGGGGTCGGGGGTCGGGCGTCGATAGGGTTACGAGAAATTAAAGGGAAATGCTGCATTGCTACAGCTCATGAATGCTATATGATTATATACCAATAATATATAATTCAATCTCGAGCGTGTCGTGATTTAGGGATGGCCATAAACAGAAAATGCGGAGAACCAGTAGCGTGCCGAGGGGTGTTGGTGGTTTTTCCACAAATTAAAATCAGTTGAAAATAATGTGAGTTGAGAGTGTATGAATTTTAGTTGTAAGCAGTTACATTTTATTCAACCTACAAAGAAATCCTGGATTCCCTCCTTCCCCCCTTTTCGTTACGTTTTTCCTATACCAAATGCATTGCTTGTCACAATTCTGAGGAAATTGTTATGAAGTATGTGGGAGAAAACGAGTCCTTGAAAATTTCGGGATAATACTTCGGCGGTGATGGGGATGCTTGAAGAACGATTACAATTAAATTAAATCTGAGAATAACTCCTGGAGAAAAGAAATTCGGAAAAGAATTCCAGAAGAGTTTCCGTAACAAATTATGAGGAGAAATCAAAGGAAGTGAGATTCAAAAGGAGGTCTGAAATGAATTAAACGAAAATTCTGGGAATCTTTTCAAAGGGTTTCTTTGAGGAGAATTTCAAGGTAATTCCGAAGAAAATTCAAAGAAAATTGAATACGGAGTATAGATCCAATGAAATTATGAGGGATATTTCAATGGATTGCGTGCAGTATTCTAAGTATATTCTGGAGATTTTTTTTTTGAGAATTCAGAGAAGCAGGATGGCAAGTGAATTTCCATTTTGTAATTCCTGTTTTTTTCCTGGTTTTCCTGGTCAATGATTTAAAAATTTCCTGGTTTTAAAAACCATGTAGGGGAAATGACGGCTTCGGCATGACAGACTATTTTCGGCAACCCAAATTGAAACACTATTTTCACTGGATTTTCTTACGAAAACACTTCGCTGAATGCATGCAAACGATTCTTTATGCTTTCAGCTTCAATTTGACTATATTTTTACCACTGAGAAAAAGCAATCTAGCAGGGTTTTCTTGAAATGAAACACACGCACTACAAATTGTAGCTGATTTCGAGTTGCCGATAATAGAACAGCAGATTTACATACAGTTCAAATGGAACGGTTGCCGAAGAAAAACTGGTTGCCGACAATACTCGCTCTCACTAGAGTAGATTGGAGCTTTGTAAAAGCGTTTCAAAACAGTTTTTGACAATTCTTTCGACTGAAATTGTTAGAGCAGCTGGCAGCAAAAGATTGTAAACAAACCAATGCTGCATATGTGTGCGTTCCATAGAGAAAAAGGCTATAGAAAGAAGGTCGCTGCTTAGGTTGCCGAGAATACGTAAATTCCCCTAGTTAAAAAAAAATTTTTAATAAAAAAAAATAAAGTAAATCCTTGTACCATCATTCTTCGTGCAATGCGGAATTTCACAAACCAAAATTGGTATTAAGGTTCTTGTCAATACCCGTGAAATCTTTATCCGATTGTTTGCTGTAAAGAAGCTAGTAGGGAGCCACGCTACTTCGTCGTATCATGGCACCTATTTCCGTTCTATGTGCTAAAACTATAATAGCAAAGCGTTTTCACTAATGTTTTTGCAAAAACATCTTTGCTTACAAGATTAATTACGATTGACACTGAAACATTTGCGATAACCCGTAAAATGAGTGATTTTAGGGGTGTATGACGAAGAAAAGCTGAGATAAGACGGACTAGCGCGGAGCCCTAGACATCTATAAACCCCTAAATCTTGAGATTTCTGTTTTTAAAATTGCGATTTTTTTTAACTTTATTATTGAGATTTTCAGCCAACGGGCTAGTTTATCTCAAGGTGAAATTGCGAAGTGTGATATGAATGAGGACTCGTTAAACAAACCTTTGCTTCTAACAATTTTACGGATTTCCAGTTTGTTTAAATTTTCCGCAAATTGTCAACGATTGACTTGAAGGATCTTATTTAGCGGAATTTTGATTACAACCTGATTTCAAAATCATATGATTAAAAGATTTCATAAATAACGCTGGTTTAATAAATCTTATTATTAAAAAGACTGACTGCTGAAGTTCATAGAAACTCCCTAAAGCTCGTAGAACTTCCCTGAAGCGTTAAGGTTTTTCCTGAAGGGTTCATTGAAGTTTGTATTGCCTGAATTTCATTGCCCGAAGTTCGAAGGATTTTTTTTTTTAGGACTTCCCTGAAGTTAAGAGTTTTGTGAAATTGATAGGAATTTCTTAAATATCGTAGATTTGAGGACTTCCCTGAAGTTTGAAGGACTTAACTGAATATATGAGAACCCTAAATTTAGAAGAGCTTCCCTGAAGTTCATAAGGCTTTAAATATCGAAGGGTTTTCAAAAGTTTGTGGGTCTTTTCTTAATTTCTTGGAAATTCCCTGAAATGTGGAGAGCTCCCATGAATTTCGTAGGACTAAAGGGTGTCCACGATGAAATTGCCACACACAAAATTGATTCGCAAAATTCGAGTTTTCATCCGATTGCCATCAAATTTTCAGGGATTGAGGAATAACTATTAAACTTCATTTTACCATTTTACTCGTATTTTATTTACAGTCCATACGCAAATGCCTGCACCTTGGCCTTAACCCCGGCCATAAGATTCTGTACAACCTGTGAATCAACCGTTTTTTGCAAGTAAACCCATACTTTCTTCAGTTCCTCGACTGTCTTCACTACCTTAGGTCGTTTAAGAAGGTGCTGCTTCATAATCGCCCAGTACTTCTCGATGGGGCGGAGCTCCGGAGTGTTGGGAGGGTTGAACATTTTCGGCACGAAATTGACCTTATTGTCCGCATACCACTTCAGCACGTCCTTGGAGTAGTGGCATGAGGCCAAATCCGGCCAGAAGATTGTTGGGACGTTGTGGGCCTTCAGGAGAGGAAGCAGCCACTTCTGGAGGCACTCTTTTATGTACACCTGTCCGTTCATCGTGTCCTGGGTCACGAAAGGTGCACTCCGCTTCCCGCACGTGCAGATGGCTTGTCAAACCAGGAATTTCTTCGCAAATTTGGACATTTTCTGAGTGCGGACATGCTCCGGAACGCTGAACTTATCCTTGGCCATGAAAAACAGGTTGCCGGGGATCTGTTTGAAGTCGGCCTTCACATATGTTTCGTCGTCCATGATGCAGCATTCAACTTTCGTCAGCATGTTGAGGTACAACTTCCTGGCACGGGTTTTAGCGGACTTGTTCTGCTTCTCGTCGCGATTAGGGGCCTTTTGTACCTTGAACGTTCGAAGCCCAGCCTTAGTTTTGGCCTTCTGGACAAAACTTCGGCTTAGGTGCAGCTTCTTAGCCACATCCCTAACGGAGGCGTTCGGATTTCGGTTGAAGGCCCCAACTACGCGGTTGTGATTTTTGGTGTTGTACGGAATACTTTTTCCTTCACTTCTGGGCTTCCGATCGGTGGTCAACCGTTCCTCGAACCGCTTGATCACTCGCGACACCGTGGAATTCGCGATTCCCAACGTTTTAGCGATGGAACGATGCGAGAGATCCTTGTTCTCGTGATGAATGCGCAAGATTTTATCACGCACGAGCTGTTCTTTCGACTTTATTTCCGCGAGTTTTGATCACAGGACTTTAAAACTTGCAGGATGTAAATGCACTATGAACTAAATCCACCCAAATTTTCATTAAATTCTACCCAACGGTTAAAAAGTTAGAGCAATTTCATAGTGTGGCAATTTCATCGTGGACACCCTTTACCTGTAGTTCAATCGACTTCTCGGAAGTTCTAGGAACTTTTTTGAGATGGAGAATTATGTTAAGTTCAGAGGACTTACCAAGAGTATTGAAGACTTCTCTGAAGCTCGGAAAAAAACCATATGTATCATAGGATTATCCTTAAGTTTTAAGTAATGCCTAAATGTCGTAGAAGTTACATTAAATCTGTAGAAAATTCTGTAAAATTCGTAGCTATTCCCCAAAGATCAAAGGACTTCCCTGAAGTTCGTAAGACTTCTCTGAAATTTGTAGAACTTCTCTGAAGGTTCGGAGAGATTTCTTGACCATCGTAGGTCATCACAGTAGTTCACAGGATTTTCCTGAAACTTGTAAGACTTTCCCGAATTTTGTAGAACTTGCATGAAGTTCGAAGGCCTTATCTGAAGTTTTTAGAAATAGAACGTTTTTATTGAACATGTTGAACAGGTACTTCAAAGTAGTTACGCGTCGGCACTGCTTAAGTCTGCTATCAATTAAGCACAAATCATACATGCAATTGATTCCAGAAAAAAAATAAATAAAAAATAAATACAAAATATTTTTACTAAATTCTCAGGGTAAATTTTGTTCATCAATGTTTAGTTGTATGAAAGATTTAGCATGAACAAAATGGTTAGTTTTGACCTGAGTATAAAAAGAAACATTGACATACATCAATATTTAAAACCTATTTAAATTATACAAACAAGATTATTTTCCTGGTGGACTTA